GACATACAGTGGTGCTTAAAAGTTTGTGAACCCTTTTGAATTTTCTTTCTTTCTTTCTTTCTTTCTTTCTTTCTTTCTTTCTTTCTTTCTTTCTTTCTTTCTTTTTAAAGTTGTAGCCGCCCATCTCCCCCAACAGGAGATATTTCTTCATGAGTATGACCCAAAATATGATCTGTTCTCCATACAAGTCCTAAAACTAGATAAAGAGAACCAAATTAAACAAATGAGTCAAAAACATTATACTTGTTCATTTATTTATTGAGGAAAATGATCCAAAGCATATCTGTGTATGGCAAAAGCATGTGAACCGTATCCCATCTGTGAAACATGGTGGTGGCAGTATCATGGTTTGGGACTGCTTTGCTGCCTCTAGACCGGGATAAGCTTGCAAACTGATGGAACTATGAATTCTGAATTGTACATTATGTTTTTTTAAAACAAAACCAGCAATTTGGTTTTGAGTGTATATTTTTAAGGGTTCAGGAATAGAGGTATTAATAAGGAGCTTACTAATGAACAAGGGACTTCAACTTTGATCTGTATATATGTTGTAGCTTAAATCACTACTTATGAATTGTATACTAATATTGCACTCATAATGGTCCATTTAGCAATCTGCTTTATAGCAGAAGAGAGAAATAGAATAATAATATACTACATTAAAAGTTTTGAAACATAAAAACTAGTTACTATTTTGTAAATTTTCAGTTGTCCTAATCAGGGTATTTCCTTTTTTGGATATTTTCTCTTACAAGTAGCAGAATATAGAAGGGCTTTAAAATGATTATCTGTTATATGTTCCTAGAGTTCAGTATTGATACAAATGCCCTACAATATGTAGTATTCTTGTAGCATCTTTACTTATACGTGGTGCTTTGCGTTCTCTCCAGTAATACAGATGCCTGTCAGGTGAGCAAGCAGCAGAATAGGGAGGACCTTGTTGAAGTTCCCCATTCCTTTCAGTAGGAATGGTCTCCTTGATTCCCAGCATTTCATTGTAGGTGTTGTATGATGGCTACATTGTCTGATGTCCAGGTTTTGATTGACTAAAGCTTATAATGCTAGCAGGTGAATTAATACAGGCTCTCATGGTTCAAGCTGGATTGATTTTTGTGTTCTAGAGGCTTATATTTGCCAGCTTTTCTCCTCTCCCTCATGTGTGTAGAAAATCTTGCTGAAGGGGATATACACACACCCTCTTCAGCAATATTTTCTAACTAGAGTGCCCCAGAAGAAATGAGAAAATGAGTGTCTCCTTGTTTTTCTGTCATCAGGCCTCTGACCTACTCCAATTCAGAGGGGAGGCCAAGAATGAAGCAATTGCTCTCTGATTTCCACAAATGTACTTCTGGAATTGCTTGATAATAAAAAGCTGTGCAGTTAAGTTTTGTTCATCAACCACCCCAGTTTTAAAAAGTGTTCTTTTTTAACCTGGGAATTCCTTTGTGGAGATTCACATAAAAAGTTGCTGCTAGTTTCCATCTCAAAAAACAGAAACTTAGGCCCAGTTTTTGGTGTTGAGAAGGATGCTGCAATATCATTATTGTGTGGTGTTAAATTGTGGATCATCCTTGAGTATTCATGGAAACTTTCCTTTTCCTAATTTCAAAATCATTTGAGATTTGCTGTAACCAATGAGAAACAGAGTGGAATAAGCAATAGAGTTGCTGGCCACACTTCTGTTTAGAATTGGAAATTTAGAATGTATATAGCTAAACTAGAGCTTGAAGCTTAAAGGCAAGATTTGGGTGTTCTGAGAAGCACATTGGCACTTCCTGAGGTAATACAAACTCTACTCAGGTGTTAGTTCTTACCATGGGAATCATAAGTACCCTACCATTTCCAAAGTCATGCAGACAATGCTTGATTCAGGATATGACAGCCATGTAATGCAATGAGGACGTCTGCACCAAGGAGGTATTCACATGTATAGCTGAACATGTGTTGCTTTTCTTCCTATGGGAAAGTAACACATGTGGGATGCCTTTGCTGATTGCATGTCTCTGGTATGATTTCAGAGAGGGATGTGGCTCCTGCTGCTTGTGGGGTGGACAGGGTTTTGCTCACTCAGTCTTCCAGTCCCATTGACAGAAACAGCTGACTCTGATTTCCCCTTCAAATGAACTGATAATCCTAGAGATTCACATACTTTTGACACACACAAATATGTAGCTTTAGATCATTTTCCTCAATAAATAAAGGAACAAGTATGATGTTTTTGACTCATTAGTTTAATTGGATTTTCTTTATCTAGTTTTAGGACTTGTGTGGAGAGCAGATCGTGTTTTAAGTCATAGGTACGCAGAAATACTGAAAATTCGAAAGGATTCACAAGCTTTTAAGCACCACTGTACATGGACTTGCCCAGGTAGTTGCCAGAAGTCAAGATTGACCTGAAAGCCCAAAACTCAAAAATAAAACCAAGTAGTCATGTTTCAAGTTAGGCAATTGTTGCTGACTATTAGGAGTAGTATTTGATTGAAAGGCATATGCCTTGGGCAAGTTGGCTACCAATAAAAGAAGAGAAATAAAAATAGTATAACCCATTATAACACAGTCAGTTGAGCTCTGCTTAACCTTGAGTATATTTTTTGTGATGAGCAGGAAACACAGTATAAGGTAAACAACTTTGGTCTTAGGGGAAAAGGTCAAATAGCAATGAGATAATTTTCCCAGCTTAGAGGTGGCTGATAAAGAGAACTTTGGGCAGCACAACAACATTGTCCTGAAAACAGTGCTGTGTTTAATAGTTAACACATTGTCAATGGATCAGATCTGTGATGTACTCCTGAGCCCAGGATGGAGAACCTGACAAGTGGTACAGACCTTTAGGGAAACCGTGTTCTTACTGTTTTCCCCAAAGCAGTTTATCTAGATCAGTGTTGTCCAAACTTGGCCACTTTAAGATGAGTGGACTTCAACTCCCAGAATTCCCCAGCCAGCCATGCTGGCTGGGGAACTCTTGAAGTTTGAGTCCATTTCTCTTAAAATGGTCAAAGTTTGACAAAACTAAACTAGAAGGTTAAATTATA